GTAACGATACGATACGTATCACAAAACACCGACAGAAAGAGTAGGTCGACATAAATGGTCGAATTCTAATGTTATTTTACTGGTTTCCATCTGTGTATTCCAATACTTTCATGACACTAATGTATTATGAGTATGTTAAAGTGATTATTGCGAGAATTTCCCAGTGTTTTCACCACTTTCATGACACCTACCGTTATTGCGTTTGAGTAACAAAAAATGTCTTCTAAAGAACCTTCGATTCACAAAAAACTGCCAGTTTTGAACTACTGTTTCGAACTAGTTTCGTAAAACATTCGTTTTCTGTTATCTTGAACTAGGCGGAAGTGTGGATACTTGTGCGCCACCGCTTATCTGCCATAGACAAAGCATGGCTCTCGCAAATCATGCACTTGTTTCAATAATCACCGACGACAAATACAAGTTTACCAAGTTCTGCCATTAGCATTGTCACGACACGATAAAATGCATTGCTGTTCGATGTGTTCATATCCAATTTTCTATGCTATAACTGCATAAAATCTTAGTATTTTTAATGTTGGTGTAATCAGTGATATTTTCGCTGTTAGGTGAGACTATATTCAGCTAAATTTAGTTTTTTCTGAGCAAAAATCTCGCAATAGTCATTTTAAACCACTCGTATAATATAGTGAGCAATCAGTTATTATAACAGTGTGGCCCTGTTATAACGCGTTGGGGTCCATAACATGATCATCCGCAAAAAAGCAGGGTCCGCACTAAATCGGGGTTCAAGAAAATAGCAGTACATAAACTGCCCATCCCCCACATCAACAAGTCATGTAAACTCATTTTAGTGCGCGATCTATAGGCGATCGTCTCTTCGACCGCAAGGCCAGGCTTAACTCACCAAAAAACTTTTTGTTCGCGGCAAGAGCAAAAAATGGCCAATGTTATATCCGAATTCCTCGTTATATCCGAATTCCCGTTAAATCCGGGCGCTCGTAACATCAAGGTTTCACTGTATATATATGTTTCTATAGCTGAAACACACCGAGAAGTTTGAGTGTGCTCTAGTCTGACTTGTAGTCGAACAGCTTCCACTTACACTTACAGGCACGCCATACAGTGCTAGCTACAGTATGTGCACAGCAACGACAAGCATCAACTTCAAGTCAATAGCACTCTTGAATATTTTGCGGTGGCAATACAAGCGTCTCACATATATATACATTGACCCCAGATTCTATGGCACTGGCAGCCGTGGATATTTACATGATACTGAGAGGGAGTTCAATAAAATAAAAGAAAGAATTCAATTTTTACATGTGCTTAAAAGAGCATAGGTCGAGCCGTATCAGATTTGTGGCGGCAATTCCGTATTTCCTCCTATACCAAGGCTCGACACTAGCGTGGGCCGGTGGCCCGGGGCCACCAAACTTGATGTCGGGCCACCAAAATTTCCAAAAGTCTAAAAATTTGGTGGCGCGAACGGGCCACTAAAATTTCAAAGTGTCTATGTGATAAAAATAATTGTTTCTTACGTGCTAATCTCATTCAAAAAGAGAGCGAGCATTCGCGGAGGCGAGGGCACACGTACGCACGTGCAGCATGCTACCGCGGGCATTACACGGGCGCAACGGTTTATCCGTCTACTGCGGCTGCAACAAGCACGTTATTGTGTTAGACTGGTATCCGCCTCACGCTCTGCTAGACAATGTACACGCTCTGGCGACGAACAGTTCGACCGCGAACCAGTCTAGCCAGAGGTCAAAATCTGAGCGGCGGCAGGCCATAGCGATATTTTGCAAGCGCCAGCATACATTGTGATTACATTGTATCAAGCGAACCAGACAATGCCGGTTCTGGTCAAAATTTGATGCCGTGGACTGGATAATTCAAAATGTATGCCTCAATCATCAATGTCAGTGTGTGGGGTTTGTTTAAAGACTGTGCAAGTGCATCAGACGGCCCAATTTTCAAATAATATACAATACGAGATTGAAAATAAAGATATAATGTTTTTCTTCGTTTTTTTTTCGGGCCACCAGATTTCATTTCGGGCCACCAAAAATTCGAAAATCAAATGATTTTGGTGGCCCGATCGGGCCACTGAAAAAAAAAGTTAGTGTCGAGCCTTGCCTATACCAATATATAGTTAAGGGGGAAATATTCCCTCCTCCGTTAAAGCCGCACTATGCGCATCCAAACGCTAATTTCTCCAGTACTAGACTAGCAAATACTTCGTGTCATGCATAATCACACTACCTTATGGCAAAATAAACTCAGTTCCTCCAATTCACTGCGCGTTTTGCTTAAAACCCACAAGAAAGAGGTGAGAAAACTGGCATTCTGGCGCTAACGCCGGACTTGTTTGCCAAACAATTTAGCCTGCGAAGCGGTTCGGTGACGTCACATGTTTTTATCTTTGCTATACACTCGTACGCGCTGTACCGCAGCAGCCGCTGTGCGGTTGCTTGGCAGGGCAACGCGAAAATGTCAACAACAATTGGAAGTATTTACAAATGCCTTTTATAAGACAACGCGCAGTGAATGGGAGGAACTAGAGTTTATTTTGTCATAAGGTAGTGTGATTATGCATGACACGAAGTATTTGCTAGTCTAAGTACTGAGAAATTAGCGTTTGGCATGCGCATAGTGCGGCTTTAACAACATCTTGACCTTTGACCCTTGACCCCCCCAAATTGGTCATCCGCAGAGTCCTTTTCACGACCGCCCCCCACGTCCCCGAATATCGTGACCGTACGTCGAGGGTTAAGATTTGCGCCAACTGTTGATGGACGGAGTGCTAATGCGATTCTACAAGCTTCATCTGACTTCGTCAGATGAGCTAAACATAGTACTATCACTATCACTATCAGCTACACATGTGAAGACGAGCTAATGCTATTGGTTATGACATTTTATGTAAAACAAATACTATATTCGCATAGATGCAATATTGTCATTCAATCAATAGTAAGCAGGTCTTATGTATGTGTCAACGAGGACTGATACACTACTCTTTATTCGTGTTTACTGTATTTTTAACATTATCTTTACCTGATAGTAATTTAGCATAATAAATATGTAAACTGGCAGTTCATAACTTGACCCAATAGTTCCCATTTCTTGCTGTTTATGTTATTGTGTATTGCTGGAAAAAAGAGCCCATAAACCAGATGCATTTAGTTTAATTAGGAGAGTAGGGGTGCACCGAGAACTTGATCGCGGCCGGAACCCTTTAGAAACTTCACACTATTTGCCCAAAAAACGCTGCCACTTGAACATTGGCTAACTAACTGATCTTAGCGATTCATAAGATTTTCTTTTAAAAACAATACTCGTAGAGCCATAGGAATTGCATCCGTCTGTTAGTTGAAAATAATAGACTAAACCAGGGCTACTGCAACATGCAGTTTTGTCACATAATTCGCTCCGAATAAGATGCCAGAAATTATGCAAATATTATGCACTGTAATTAGCAGCCCGATTCATAACACCTAACAACCAACCTGTAATTAGAACTTTGAGCATTGTCCTACTCGCCTGAGTGATGTGCCTGCTAAGATATTTCATTCAGGCGAGTGAGTTTGCACAATACTGGTCCAAAACTGTCAAGTTTATTCCAGCTAAAGTTCCGGTTCTGGCCGAACTTTTTTCAAGTTCCGGCTGGTTCCGGTTCCGCGCCAGAATTAAAAAGTTGGATCCGGTGCACCCTAATTAGGGCGTTTGGTTACTCAATTATTATTTTGATACTGCCATCTCCAGAATGTCCATCCCTACAGAGTATGAATGGCAAGAATGGATGTATACGGTAGAAGATTGTGAGATGTGCAAGCCATAGTTCAGAGATTTTTTAGGTGACAAATGATATGAGCAGAGGCTAATTGCCATTATGCACTTACTTTAATTTCTAAGATTCTGAATTTCAGATTTTCCCCACCTGTCCGCGGTGGCAGATTTCCCTGCACGGCGCCTACTGTTGTTTAAAAGCATTATACCTTCACGATCCATTTATTGTCGCCTAGCAAAAAGTTCTACTTTGTTTGCTTTTAGCGCGAAAATTAATAGTACGCAACTATGCAATCCCACACACATCCCAGCTAAAACTCGAAACATTGCACAAACATTCATGACTGCAGACACATCCACAGGCACTTGGGCAACAAATGATGGTAGATAAATGCAATTTATTATATTTACTCCCAAAGTCTCAACGTATGTATTATCTACCACATAATAATTTCACATAAATGTTGTTCAAATGCTCTTCTACACAACACAATTTTCAAAAGCATGCCATGCCACTGTGAAGTGAACAAACTCATAGAAATATAATGGCAGGTGGAAACTGTGAGTGCCACTTCGCTCCAAGACGATCTCCACTACTTCCCTCCAAGGCGTGCCCCACTAATTTGCTCCAAGACTAGCCACAATACTTCGCTCCAAGACGATCTCCACTACTTCTCTCCAAGGCGTGCCCCACTACTTTTCTCCAAGACGAGCCATAGTCATACTACTTCGCTCCAAGACTAGCTCCACTACTTTGCTCCAAGAGAAGCCAGAATGATATGAGCAAGAATGACATCACATGCAAAACTATGTTCATTGGCCAAACAATAGTACCGATAAAGATTTTTTTGGATAATAAACAAAATATTGCTCCAATTACCATTTCAATTGAGTGGGAGTTTCTTGCATTTTACCAAATTCTTTGGGTAAATTGGGCAGTTGTGTGCAGCCAAAGTTTGTGCATAGTACTAGCGTGCTATCGGTAAGATTGTGTGTTGTAGAGGAGCATTTTTGAATTTATGTGGAATTATTAGGAGATAGAGTACAGTGTTCTCATTAGGAACCGTCCACCGGCCGAATTGACCGTCTACTCTGCTGTTTCGGCCGGTTACAATTCGCTCAAGTATGATATAAAAAAAAAATATATATATAATTTTTTTTATTTGCATTTAGTTTGCTCTAATTATTCTCCAAAGTGAAAGTGTTTTATGAGCTACTACTAATAAATCAGTTGAGTATATTTGTATGATGTTATGTGCACAAGAAGCATCGTTTGGTTTTGAGTAACGCTGTTTACGTACTTGTCTAACTCTTATAATTAGTTAATTACTAAATCGTCATAATTTGGAAACTTTTGGTGAACTCTGAATGTACCAGGAGAAACCAAATTGGAAAAAAGGACCATATTGTAATCCAAATGTGTCTGTTTACTGCAGCTCATAATACACCAGATTTCATCTCAAAGCATCTCCCCCCCCCCCACCCACGGCCTGTTGCAAAAGCATTTCGGCGTGTTACTATAAAAGATAATGAAAACCCTGGAGTATAGAAACATTAAGACTTTGATAGTAAATACATTTCGTGTATGTTTCCCATCATTTTATTATTGAAATGACCCACGTGCCCGTGGACACATTATCACGCTCCGTGTAAACTCTCACATTGATCCAATCTAGCAACATTGAGAATGTGCACAGTGAACAACATAGAATTTAGTATAGATCGGCCACATTTGACTACAAACACCAGTTTGTTAAGGCGCGAAATTAAGCAAGCAGACTAGCAAGCCTTTGTTGCCGAGCTTAATTGCTTCTCTCGTTGCAATCCACTTATTCACAGGTAAAGCTGATCACAACTGTTCACAATTATTGACTACACACTTGTAAACTATATTGTGCAATAGCTTCCTACATGACTCTCAGGGCCAGATTATCTATATATGAATTGTGTTACCAAATGCTTACCTGTTATGGGTGCTTCAACATCGACCATTGTCTTCTCTGACCGCAATGTGGCTGCTCCTTCATTTATCAACCTAAGTGCTACCGATTCTTCTAGTCGACCTTCTAAGATGAAATGATTCTTTATCACGTCCATACGTGGTTTTCCTTTCGCATCAAAAACATCACTGTTTGAAAGCCTACGATTTGGCGGAAACGGAGTACCTGCAATACACAATAATCACATCAATTCCACACACCTATATAGATATAGATATATGAAGAGCCCATTTGCAAAACTGCCTATGTCAATTTTGTTCAAAAATGAGAGTTTAACAATGTATTAGTATGTGAATATAGGTACCGTGTAGCAGCGAAAAAAATACACGGGAGCGGCGAGCGATTTCGCTCCCGTCAGCTTCCAAAGCGCTCTGGTAACAACAATTACGAGAGCGGAAATTTTGGAAGATACGAGAAAAAATCGCTCCCGTGCCGCCGGCAGCGTTAGAAATTAGTTCCGACCTGGAGGCCCAGCCCACCTAGTTTTTGCTCGGGCCACCATCTCTAAGAAACTCCCGGTCATACAAAATCAAAAGAGCTCTCGTAAAAAAAAGTTATTTTTAGGCTGCCGTGTAGTTACTTTTTTTTCTTGAAAAACAGCCTACATCATGCTTAAAGAACCCATCATAAATCATGTTTAGCTTACATCCAAAAACCTTTAGTTGCAAAATAGCCTATATCTATCAGCACATTTTAACCAATGCTGAAAACAATGTAAATGCTTGTCAAATCATTATTTTTGTCGTTTTCTCTCATTTCTCCAAAATGGACATAATTATAATAGCATAGATTGCAAGATTAATATATTCATGTAGTCAAACCTGTGTTAGTGGTCCCCTCTATCACTATCAGACACCCAGGTCTGCATTAAAAAGAAACATTGGGCGTATTCTTTGAGTGAAACCAGTTCTAAAGAACAGATACTCTCTATACACAGGACTACTGGCTCTTCTCTGGAGTAGCAGTCTTAGACTTTAGAGCTAAATCATCTTCAGAATGATCACCTGTCTATAAAGACTATTTCTGGCATTTCCATTGAGTGACCCGTATATATACAGGCTTGACTGATATATCCCTCTCAAAACAACTGGACAACTTGGGAATGATCAATAACAGCGCAAACTAAACGTACATGTCTGACATTTCTTTACAGTGTCACCTTATGGGACATTACCGATTCTGATGTTAGGCATTATTAGGTAGTACAGCATTGTTTCTCTGCAGTCTGCTAGACATGTGAACAAGCACAATTATCTCCATCTAAAGTGAAGGCCACACCCTTTAGGTTCCTCAGTGCGCACTTGCTATGATTTCCGTACTGGTACAGCTAATTTTAGACTGAAGGGTATGAGTAACTTGACCTTTTCACAAACAGCTCAACAAAAGTAAAACCCAATTTATCTTCTTGTTTTGGCATAATTGTCCCGATCGCAGCAAACAATTTTCAAAATCTATTGGCCTTTTGTGGTACCCACTGCTCACCAGCTGTTAACCAACAACAAAGAGAGAATCTTTGTACACACCGCTAAATATATAATAGTAATGTTAATCATCTCTTCATTCAGTACATTATACTAGGAATATTAAAATTCAAGTTGGTTGTATTAAAAACGAATTATAAGTAAACTTGCTTTCTTTATAAAGTAATTATAGTGAGAACCTGAAAATTGGTTCATTGGCCCTGTGTTAATAAATGTGTTGCATGGCATACCTTACATACAAAACATGAAGGTAGTTTCCCATGAATAAAATACACAGTAGCTCAAGCAAAATGAGCAGCAGTTGCGCTTTTCCTCGTACTATTATCGTGTGTTTTCTGGCCAACATTCATCACTGTACTATAGAATAATTTTTAGTTTCTCTACTCGGCAGCAAAAAAACATATAAACAATAATTTACCAGGAACACTGTGGATCTGAGTGACAAAACACTCCTTACCAGGAGTATAAATAAGGAGAAAAAAGAGATGGTCCACACGACCACCTAGTTTGAAATATTATGTATCAAACGATACAGTAATTGTTTATTCACTTTAATAGTATATTGGTTAATAAAGTTCATTCAGTAGAATTTAGTTGAACCCATAACACCAGAATATAGTACGACTTAAATATTTCTTAGAAGCACATTCATTCATTTAATACAAACATTCCTTCAGTCAAGCAGTTCATTCAAGCAATTATAAGCCTTCTTGGCACACTCCATCATGTCCATCTATCTAATATTTGTTTATCTTCCTCTTCAACTATGCTCCATTTCGCTATGCCTATATTTCATATTATCTTATTAACGGGGAAGACGCCGTTTGGGTGTCCACCGGAAATCATCACAATCAAAACAGAAAGAGGGACAATCTGACCAATCACGCACCAGCTTACATCATGCCAAATATTTGCTACATAGTCAACACTGGATTAGCAATAATCGAAATGTGGGAACTTCAAAGAAAATTACCGTAAAAGGGGACCAAAATATTCAATGGTCCGTCGGATCCTCCTGATTATTTGATGGCCCTGGACCATCGGACCATCGCTTATTTCGACCCCTGCTTACAATATATTCCTATTAATAGTATTATACTCCTATAATACTTCCTATTACACTTCCATGCAAGTCTTGTGCTGTTTGTGCACCGAGAATTGGAACCCTATCCAAGACAGATAGTGCTCAGCCTATGTATGTCGGCTAGTATCAGGGGTATATATACTTGTAAATTTACATGTATTGCATTCAGAAGTTTAGCTCACAGCCAAAAACTGCTGACCAGTGTGGTTGCCACTTGCCAGGGTATGCACCACTGACCATTAAATATTAACGCTATAAAATTTCCTAATATTTAGTACCACTAATTAATACTCACATACACACTATAAAGTATTAGTTAGTGTTGTCAATCGGTTGTAATTTCGTAATCGATCATCGGTTGGACCCCAGTAACCGATGATCGATTACAATCGGTTACTCGGGGTGTTGAATTCCTGCGTGTGCATGTATGTTCTTGTTTAGCCCTGTTTACTGTTTGTTTTGCACTGTTTACTACTGTGTGTATAATACGTGGATTTATTTACTATGTATGTTAATAAAGGATTACTTGTATAGTAGCGATGATATCTCTGATTCTCATCACTTTTCCAAGTTTTCTTGTTCAAGTTTTACATTTATTTCAAATTTTTATTTTTTTTATTTTTCGATGAAATCAATTATGGATTTTGATAACCAAGCGCTTGGTTCGAGCCACTGTTCAACCGATGATCGAGTATAATCGATGATCGTGATATCACTAGGCGCTTGGTTCGAGCCACTGTTCAACCGATGATCGAGTATAATCGATGATCGTGATATCACTAGTATTAGTATTACTGAGCATCTAGACTATAATACTATGAGTTGCACATTATTCCAGGCTACCCAAGACTCATCAGGGGTATAACCAAAGTAGAGAACTAGTCACAGATGTTGGCAGATCATATTACTTCACACCCTAGACCTTAGGTACCTGATAAAGGCAACCCTGAGAACACAAATTCTTAATCCTCTACATCAGCACAGACCAGACACTTTGCACCATCTGTCAACACTACCATAAAATTTAACAAGTGCCTCAGAGCGACAGCGCTCACCTGACGGCAGGCGTTCTGATGCTAAACTCAATGGTAAACGAATGAATAGCATCCTCCCATCACTGCGTTCGCGCTCAGAGCATATATATCTAGGATACTACTAATACAGATCTAAAATCTATGATAGCTAGGCTTTGCTATACCGGTAGTACAGTAATAAAGATACAGCTGTGTAACTTTAATGACTTCGCTATATTAACATGTTATCATGGATATGCGTCGAGCGCGAGCGTAGTGGTGGGGGGAGAGTGGTGGGAGGGGGCGTGTGGAGGTGGCTCTAATAGCAAAAGCAGGTACCGCGAGATGGCGCGTGCAAGTGTCATCAATAATC